ATTATACTATGAATACACAGAGACAGGGGAGACACAAGGCTTACCTTGTTTCAGGTGCTGTGTCCGTTCAATGATGAAGTCCAGGACATCTTTGTGATTAGACAGAAGGCTGTTAAATAGCTGAGCGCAGTCTGATGGGGCCCCACAGCTGGCGCTGGCGCAGAGAGACCCCAAACACTAAAAGGAAGAGAAACAACCATCAGAGGAACGCTTGGATGAACACATTGTGCCCAGCACCAAGCCCACATTACCTCTAAACCTCGTTCCAGCAAAATGTCCTCATCACTGGGGGGGGCTGAGAAAATCATCTGCAGGACTTCCAAGAAATCTTCTTCATAGTTCTGCAGAGAGCTGCAAAATAATTCCAGATATGAGACAAGATGATGACAATGGATGGCACGGAAATGTCGTGAATATAGCAGGAAAAGAGGAGAAGGTTCAATCACTCTGCTCCCGATAACTGGCGAGTAATATCGGAGGATGGAACCAGCAGACGTGAAGTCCGGGGAGATAACATACTACTATCACGGACAGTTATCACCTTATAACACCAATATGATGGAATGGGGGGAGAGCCGGCAATGTACTCACCGGGAAGCCTCGGGATGACTCTTGAAACAGTAGTAAGAGTTCAGAAGGATAAAGAGATCTGACAGAAAGGACGAGGCCCATGAACACTGGAACCAGAAACAATGTGATCAGAAAATGGAACATATAATAAAACCCCCCGGGATAAATCATAGAGAAGTCCCATACCTGGCGCACATCCTCCTTCAATGATTGGCTGATCAGCTGCAGGAGGAAATGAGGGATCTGTAACTCCTCACAGAGGTCAGAGAGCAGGGCCGGATCACAGGTCGATGATAAGAGGTTACAGATGACACGGACGGCTGGGCGGAGGCGGGATACAGCTTCCAGCGACACCTAGACACACAGATTGTTAGGATGGAAGGAATAACGCAGCAACCATGAATGGTATCCTACACCGAGGTACACGGCCAAAGACAAACCAGGCAGCATGTGAGCAATTCTGGTATAAAGGATGTCCCTGTAATGTGGGGTCATCATGGAGGAAGCATTGTGGGGTCATCATGGAGGAAGCATTGTGGGTAATGTGGGGTCATCATGGAGGAAGCATTGTGGGGTCATCATGGAGGAAGCATTGTGGGTAATGTGGGGTCATCATGGAGGAAGCATTGTGGGGTCATCATGGAGGAAGCATTGTGGGGTCATCATGGAGGAAGCATTGTGGGTAATGTGAGGTCATCATGGAGGAAGCATTGTGGGTAATGTGGGGTCATCTTGGAGGAAGCATTGTGGGTAATGTGAGGTCATCATGGAGGAAGCATTGTGGGTAATGTGGGGTCATCATGGAGGAAGCATTGTGGGTAATGTGGGGTCATCATGGAGGAAGCATTGTGGGTAATGTGGGGTCATCATGGAGGAAGCATTGTGGGTAATGTGAGGTCATCATGGAGGAAGCATTGTGGGTAATGTGGGGTCATCATGGAGGAAGCATTGTGGGTAATGTGGGGTCATCATGGAGGAAGCATTGTGGG